ACGTTAGCTAGGAAGAGGCTGGTTAGTGCTAGCTTTTAGCCTAGCATGGAGTCCTCCTCGCCTGCCCCTTTTGCGTCTCCATCTCCGGGTCGCTCTCCTGATTTCTGCCTGCTCGCTTGTGCCTGGTGCATCCCCGTGGGCGATGGTGGCTTTCCTCACCATTGTTGTTATTGTCGCCGGATCGAACAATGAGTTGTAGCTCCGGTGGTATGAAACCAGTAAATCCCCAGTGGCTTTGTGACTTGGCGATATCCAGCAATGCCTGTCTGCTGTATGCAAGCAGTGCATGACATTTGTGCACTGCAGAAAAAGCAAAACACACACGCAAAAAAAGAAAACGAAGAAAAAGCCGGCATTCAAGAGTGGAACGCACAAACACGTTCGCCTCGGTGGGCACCATGTTGGTGTGAGGGGCACAGACATGGAGGGAGAGATGAACCATCTCGAAAGCTCACTAATTAATATGTTGCTGAACAAGAAAGCTCACTAATTAATATATTGCTGGAACAATTTCTCAAAAGAAAATTGTTCTAGCACATAGGGAAAGCTGCAATGTGTCATTATTACATTTCAGTTTGTAAATGGATTAAACACAGTCATGGGTACAACGTGTGAATCCAAAAGCTTTGCAAGTGCTGATAGGAAGATTTTTGAGCTTCCCCAATTTCAGTCTTTATAATAAGCTTAGCTAACTGCATCCTATCTTCATCTCCATGCATATACACACAAGAGCTTCTTATCCAATTATTGACAAAAAACAAATACATGTACTGTGTGAAATGTCAGACTATTGTATTGTTTTGGTATTGGTATATGGGCTAAAGCAGATTCCTAAAGGATGCATTCACTCAATATTACACTTACATCTACAATAAGGAAGTCGAGCCAGCACCAGGCGTTGGTGAAGTACTTGACAAAGCCATATGCCACCCACTTCAACAGCATTTCCAGAATGAAGACATAAGTGAAGACCTTGTCTGCGTATTCCAGCACTGTTTTGATGGTCCTCCGCTGCTCGATGTAAATGTCCTCGAATGCCTGTATAGAGGGCAATTTAAATAATAAAGCCTGCTGGGTCAAACAATAAGATGTGAAAAATAACTCAAAAGGAGAGAGAAAAAAGTTCTCTGAACTAAATCTATTACATAAATCCAGCGATAAATACAGCATCGGGGTGCACGGTCTCTAGCACGTTGATGACACCATAGAGTTTGCTAAGAGCCGCAGAGGGATTAGATCTTGGGCTAACATATACAGCAGCACAGTTTTTTATATATTGGCAGCTTTTGCAGGCTCTGCACTTAAAATTGCCTTGAAAATGTTTGACACTTAATTCATTATTAGATACTGTAGGATAGTGATATGCTCTGACAAGTCTGTCCCTTATGTTTTTTGCCCTTTTGAAAGTGGCCGTAGGAGAGCCTTTAAAGATTTCTTTTAAGGACGGATCACTGTTTAAAATATACCAATGTTGGGTGAAGTTCTGCCAGTGAATTCTGCTGTATCTGATGTAAAACACACACCTGTTTTCAGCATGAAATGTAAACCCTGTGTTTACTGTGATCAGGAATCCCTAACCCCTCTGAATTCAACGGCTTGCTTCTGACTTTTCTTTCCGTTTAGTGCTCCTTCTGCTCCTACAGGATCCTTTTGTCCTGCTGTCTGACCTGTGCCTGGCCAGCTGAATGTAGCACTGAACACCTTAGGCATAAAACCAGACCCTCTCTATAACTGCAAGAACAATGAAGCCCATTGAGATGTTACCGGTCCTGACGTCAATCATTGTTTCCCACAGTTACTGTACCTTCTCATCAGACAATGGGGCTTTCTTGCAACAGCAAACCCATGACATATTCTGATAATGTGAAAAAGCATTGAGTACATTGCCTTTTACCTATTGGCTCCTGAAACAAATGCATGTGTTTGAGTTTATTCAAGTTCACGGTGGGGTCACAGGGTCAAAAAGACTGAGGATGACCTCTGAGTCCAACCTTCACAATGATCTTATCCATGCACCTTTCTAGTCAAATTCCTGTAAATCTTGGCCACCTATGCCAAAAGCTTGTAATTGATTACACTACCTGGGTGTGTGTGCCAAGGTGAAGCGCCTGGCGATGCTCCGGTTCATCAGGAGCTTGCGGAATATCAGAGGAGAATTTCGAGGGGAGTTTCTAGGAGAGGCGCAGGGAGACATTCTGGGGGATCCACAGGGCGAGACAGAAGATGAGCACTGAGTGCTGTTGAGGGGGAAGGACCCAGCCTCCACAGAACTTTCCCAGATGCCTTCACTCATGCTGCCATGCAAGGGTTTAACAAAACCTTCGTCTTACGCTCTTGTGCAGCCCTCCCAGTCCTGGCAGGTAGTCCTGGTCGTCCATGTCAGAGCAACAGCATTCTTCCAGGGAACCCATATCTCTCAGGTCTTTTAATGATGAACTTCATACTCAGAAACAGCCTCAAAATTCTTTAGGTTTACTTTATACCTTGAGAAGCTTCATTACTTTTCTCAGCTCAGAGCTCTCTGCAGGCACTGTTAACAGACACAGACACGAGTGCAAGAGAGAGCCCTCCCCTCAGTAGTGAGCTCTGTTTACAAAGCATGTGGCACTGCCTAAATATGGCCAGGCCTGAATTATCGCTTTGTAAGCTCGCACCATGGGTGAACTAGCTTTGTCGAGGCCTCTCTTCCTGCAGGAGTAAACTGCCACCTTCCAAGCCCAGAATTTACATCTGCTTCCCTCCTCAGTGAACCATCAGTGCTCAAACACTGACCAGTGTGCACGGATACCAGGACTGTGCTACACCAACAGGCTGCAGACTGGGTAGATTTTCATAATGCCGGTCAGTGGGGCTCACAGTCTAAAAACAGAGCTTGCCTGAGATAAAAGATAACAAGAACCCTGGAAATGTCACTTTCACTTTTACTCTTATCTCAAGTGAGCACTGCTTTCCCAGTGGAGCTGACGGGTGATGGAAAAACAGTGTTTCATCTTTGACCCAGTGACAACCAGTGACCCAAACCTCCTCTGCCCAAAACAAAACCTTCTGAATTCGGCCAAAATACACAAACTGAAGACAGAAATCAGCTTGAACCTAAACACTTCAGTAAACACATGCTGATCCTACATTACTGTTATATACATAACAGCTCAGTTCATTCAGTCCCTACTCAGCCAGTACAGCTAAAATATAATTTAGAGTGCATTCCTCAACTATTCCTTTCAAACACCAAATAGACAGGTTCACGCTATGTTCAATTTCAGTGATTTGGGGAGCATAAAGTTAACAATGGTCAGCTGTGCGTCAGGGTTTCACTGCATGTGAGTGCATACCGGTATATTTGTTCTGAAGCTTATCACTGACAGGCAGTGACGTGCGGTCAGGGGGTCAATCTTGAAAAGAAAAAAAAGTTTACCATAAAATATAATAAATGTTAATATTTGTCAGCTGGTGTGTTTTGTAGGCCCTTTTGCCGTTCGAATCTGATGTTGAAGGAATTTTTTCAATAAAGAATAGCAGAATTTCCGTATGTCCCGTTCAAATACATGGGGGAGATGCGCAATGAGGCAGCACTTCGCTGTGCCTCTCGGTGGATCGTGTAATCCTCACAAACTGTATGCGATGCAAATAGTGTGTCGCTGTCCCTCTATATATTGCAAATAAAATGCTTTCAAACACTCTGATTATATGCTCTGCCTTGCCATAATCTGGATAATGTATAAAATGTAGTTCTGTAACGTGTTTAGGCTGCAGATTAACCATAAAACCCAGTAAAAAAGTTACTCGGTGAGGCAAACAGT